GTAGATCAGCCAAAGCTAGCTTGGCTTTACTCCAATTAGGGTTAGATGGAGGAGGTGCAGAGGGAACTACAGGCGGGTTCTGCTTAACGGAGAGTTGTTTCACCTCTTGTGTTAAATGCTGTATAGCCTGTAAAATTGGGCGATTGTCATAATTTGATATTGCTGCGGCAGCTAAAGCTGAGTCGGCTGTAGTGGATTTTACTTTTAGTTTGGACGCCTTTTCACTACTTAAAGCGATAGCGTCATTTTGAACTACATTCTGCTCCTCCTCTGTGAGGGGCAATTCCTGAATAACTGGCTTAATTTCTAGTTGAAGATTTTCTACAATATGTTCATCTTCCATAGCTTTTAATAAAGAGTACACAACCGACCAAATAGCCCAAAAACGTAAAGGAATCTTCTCCTCCTGTTGCATAGCCCTTTCTATACTAACCCTTGCCTTCCTCCATACTTCTACATCCAAAGTTCCTTCATCTGGAAACCAAGGATTATATTCTTTAATTGTATCAATACACATATCCAAGTCAGCTGACCTGAGTGATATGCCATATATAGATAATAAATGTTTAAGAATTTTTAAGAAAGGAGAAGAAGCAGATTGTCCCATTTCCCCGTAATAAAATTATACTTACCTTCCTAAGCGACCTTCGGAGTCCCTGAATTCGGGCGCCACTTGTCGTGAGTGTCTTAGAGCACTCTGAACTCCGGGCAAGGTAAACACGCACACACGCCTGATCGGGACACGGGGGGTACAGTGCTCGGAAAAGAAAGACAGGAGAGACACCTTTACTGTCTGCACCGCGTTACGCTGCACTGCACGCACAATCTTTATTTTAGGATTCATATATAGTAAACCCGATCAGTTCACAGAGCCCAGATAATTAAGTAGTGAAAAGGCATTCTTTGTGGCAAGCTACAACGTGACAGACTACAATGTTTATTCTAAAGCTATCTAAGTGAAGTAAATAATCACAACCAGTTCTCATAACTTCTCTAGCCCAGGAAGAAATTCATTAGCTCAAGAATGTTGTTAATTTGTCTGCTGTTAGTGTCACAAAGGGTGGCCAGCCACTTCCTCAAGACTTCTGCAAAACAAAGCCAGCTCACAGTATGGATTCCAGAGGGTGAGGGGCTCACTGAGAACAGGCATTCCTATTCTACCTCCTTCTCGCATACCAGGGTGGCTATTGTAAATTGTAGGTTAGAGGGGGTTGGGCCTACAAAGTGACACCTCATCCCCCACATATGGGGATTCTGTCTTGGTGACAAGAAGTTGTCTAATTCAAGAAAAGGAGCACCAGAGAATTGAGATTGCTGCTGTGACTATACCTGACCATGTGATTTAAAAGCCTTTGGACCTGGGCTGGCGCTTTAGCTCAGCGGCATAAGCAACCTGCCTTGCAAGCAGGCGGTCGTGAGTTTGATCCCTGGTGCCGATAAAAAGGAAAAAGACAAAAAAAAAAAAAAAAAAAAAAAGCCTTTGGACCCTGCTTGTGGAAAGGTTTAGAAAAATTTGAAGAAGTCAGATAAAAAAGCCTTGTAATGTTGTAAGTGGAGGTTGGTAAGATTCCAGAGCTCAGAAGACCAGAATGCTGATAAGAATGTGGACAGTGAAGGCCAGGTTCAGGAGTTTTCAGATAAGAATAAGGACTGTCTTGAAAAATGGAGTAGAGACATGCATATTGCATTTTGGCTCAGGATTTGTATATGTTCTTCCCATATGCTAAGACTGTGTGAAGCTGAATTTCAGGGTGATGGGCTAATTAATCTGGCAGAGGAAATATCAAGGCACTCAAACCTTTAGATTGTGGCATAAGTTCTTTTGGTTGCTTTTAGTTATATTTACAGTGAGAATCAGGAGCAAAATATAGAACTGCACGATGTGAAGCTTGGCCAGAAATAAAGTTGGAGCAAAAGAGAATGTGGTTGTGACAAGCCAAGTACTGTGCACTGGAAAGATGGCTTGAAGGGATCTCAGGAACTGGCCAGACCCCACTCATCTCCAACACAAAGATCAAAAGCATAAACCTTTCATCTGAACAGAAAGCCCTCGGGCACCTGCTCATTCTGGGCCACCAAAGGAAATGCTTTCCCATGTTTATCCATCCAGGTACTCACAGACCATTGCAGACACAACCCAGGGAGTCTCAGGCTGGTAGCCAACTCTGATATTGTCAACCTGCTACTGGTTTTTCAAGCATATAGAATACAAGTTATTAGATCACAGAGACTTCCATTCAGATTTCAGAAGAAGGCATTGGAGGCCAGGCCAAGATGTATGGTATGGGCACAGTCCCTACCAGGAGCCCATGAGAGGGTAGTGTATGTACCTAGCAATAAGAGTGATACCAAGGGTATAACGAAGAGTCCAGGAAATTGGAGATGCCAGGAACATAGACCATCTACTAAAAAACCCACTGAGAGTGAGTACAGCCAGCCCGAGAGGCCACGTGAGCTGTGACCAGCAGGGCCATAGGGATAGGCCCTGCCCGAGAACTTTGTTGCTCACATCGCAACATAACTTCCCCAGGATTCCATAATGTTGATACAGGATTTAATGTTTATGCTGCTGGTTTTTGCTGGTCTTGCTTTGGTCTGATTTCTGTCTATTCTCCTGTTCTTCCCTTTTGGAATGAGAATGTTTGCACTGTATATTGGAAGTGTTTTACTTTCTGATTTTTATAGGCCTCACAACTGGGAGTTTGCCTTTAGTCTCAGAAGACTTTGGGATTGGACTTTCCAGCAATGCTGGAATTGTTAAGTTTCTGGTTAGAGATAGACTAATTGCATTTTGTGTAATGAGATGGCCTTTTGGGGCTAGGGTGGAACGCTATAGTCAGATCTAAAATGTCCCTCAAGAGAGTCAATCGGAGGTGGGGCCTGACTGGAAAGCGTGGATTGCAGAGTGTGTGTGTTCTCATCGCTAGCTCATTCCTTCTGTCTGCTTCCTGGCCAGCATGCAGGGAAGAGGCTTCTCTCCTTCTGTGCTGTTCTGCTGCAGAGGCTGCCACATTGCCCTCCTCAGGCCCAATGTGACTGTGCTCACTTTTGAGCAGTGCAGACTATACAGAGCTGACGTCCTAAAATTGGCTTTAATTAGTGAATCTGGCCAAGACCATGTGAGGATCTTCATGAAAGCAGGTGGCTGGTGTCAGAACTAGCATTGTTCATCACCAACAGCCATAGCTGGGCTCAGAGGAATTCCAGTAGAGGGTTTGGACGTTCCTGGAACCCTGAAAATCATACTACTTGCCTCTTATTTAAGCTGTTTGTTCCCCACTTGCTTAACAGGTTGGGGCTAGGCCAAAACACCAGTATGGCCAGCACTCACAGTTGTACAACATTCCTACCAAAACAATAGTATTTTCAGTTTCCAGCACCTCAGACATTCTTGTTTGTGCTTAGTGGAAGGTTGTTGTGTTTTAGATTTGCCTTTGCCGAATGAATAATTGCGTGGGTATCTTTTCATGTGTGTATACTTTGGTGAGGTGACTGTTCACATGTCTGCCCATTATAAAAAGTTCATTGTTTTTCTACAGATCTGAGAACGCTGATATAATCCCACACTGGGGAGGCTGACATGGGAGGATTGTTGCGAGTTCAAGATTAGTCTAGGTTACAAAGTGAGATCAAGGCCAGCCTGAACTGCATAATAAGATCCTGTCTCAAAACGACAAGTTATGATATTGCAGGTTATCAAGTTTTTCTCATTGTTTTGTTAAGTGATGTTCACTGTAGCTTTCTACATCCTAGGCAAACTCCACCAATATTTATTGAATATATGTTACACTAAGGCATTCTTCTAGGTATTGGTTACAGCCAAGGAAGAAGAAACAGATCTGATCTCAAGAAGCTTATGTTCTAGAGGAGACACAGCCAGAATATTCTAAATTATAGAATCTGATAGCACTAAATCCTATGAAGAGCACTTTGCAGATGAGCAAAAACACAATGACTGCTGTGCAAGTGGTACTGGCCTCCCGCACTCATGGGGCAGTATCTATACTTTTTTGCCTGTTTTAAATTCTCAGGGTCCTTTATGAATCAGACAATGCTCTGTCCCACTGATACAATGCAGTATGCTGTCAGCTCCGAGTAATAAACAGGACCTCTGTTCGCGTTCCCATCAGCAAGGAAACAGCTGCTCCAAGTCCACACGCCAAGTTTAGGCGGAGGGCCGCAATAGCACCCAAGGCTCACGAAGCACATGATCTAATACACACTGATTCAACATAAAATACTGGACTGCTGTGGAAGGCGGTGCATTTCCTTTTCCCTGGAAAAGGCGCCCCGTGGGTTCGAGTTCACTTTTCCTGCAGCTCCTGAAGAGGCAAGGCCCCGCCCAAGGCCCTTCTGGGGTGCCCGGTGCTGCTCTCCGGCGGGCTCGCTATAGCTTCTTGTACACAGCTTCGTGCCCCCGCAGCCCACGCTCTTAAGGAAGTGGAGCGACCTGAGTAAGGTCACATAACTGGGGCCGCGGCGCTGGCTGGGCCACACAGGTATGATCCAGGCCTTGGAGTCGCAGTGTCCCACGGGTTGGGGTAGCGCCCAGGCAACAGCTGCAATCCAGATACTCCGTTGAGACAGAGCTGTTCTCAAGGCCAGCCACTCCTCTCCACGCTCAATGACAGACACCCAGAGGACCCTGAAAGAAAACCGACTTCAGGGCGCGGCATCGCTGAAGGCGAGACTCCGAAAGGCGACAGGCGACCAACAAGGGCTTCGTGCTGTCGGCCGGTGTGGGGCATCCTCCCAGTTTGGAGTGGCTACCCCCAGAACAGCCTGTGAGGAGGCCTTGCAGCGGCCGACACCGCCGCGCAACACAAAAGCCAGCTGCCCAGGAAGTCCGCAACTGCTAGTAGAACTCGGGCGTGAACAGTGCGCACGCGCCTGCTGCCCGGAAGGCGGGGCTTGGGCGGGGCGGGGACAGCGGGAGGCGCGGGAGCTCCGCGGAAGGAGAACTACGCGTGCGTCCCGGATGTGGGCGGGGCTTGTGCGGGGCGGGGCCGTCGTCCGTCACGCGCAGCCCCGCCCCCTCGGACAGCCGGCCTCCTCCAGAAGGCGGCCGCTGCCCGGGTTAGCTGGCCTTGGGGCACCTCGGCGACCATGGGGGACCCCAGCAAGCAGGACATCCTCACCATCTTCAAGCGCCTCCGCTCCGTGCCCACTAACAAGGTAACGGCGCCGGCCGTGAGCGCTGCCTCCCTCGCGGGAGCCTGCGGGCGCGTTGGCCGCGGCCTGGGGGAGGAGCCGTGCCCGCCGGGTGTGACACGTCGCACTGTGGGGCCGCGGCGCCGGGCCTCCCGCGCGCGAAGCCGCTGCTGCTCGGGCCTTGAGGGCTGGCGGGGCAGGGGGCCGCACCCCGGACTCGGGGGGAGAGGCCGAGCGTCGGGGGAGCCCCGGGCACCGGGGAGGAGGGGTTTCTGGGGATGCGGGGCAGAGCACCTGTGGTCTGCAGACACCTGGCGGCTGGGCAGACACGGGGTGCGGGGCACATGCGTGGGTTCCCGGAGGCTGCGAGTGCGTGAGCGAGTCCAGGGAGGGGGCGAGCAGGTAACTCAGGGTGCTGGAGGGCGCCACTCCCCTTCCTCATTCACAGCTGAAGTTCCAGCTGTGGGCCGCCTTTGAGGAGGTTGGAGTCTGGTTGGTTCCCTTTGTCCTTTAGTGGCAGCCTCAGTGTCCCCGTCTGATAAACCTGTTAAGTGGGCCCCTTGGTGGTCTCCAGCTTTTGCCATCAGACCCTCCCTGGCTTTGGCTCTGTTTGGACATTGGGCATCTGTCTGTCTGCACCCCCACTTTTCTCCCCTGTAACTTTTTCAACTTTTAGCATCTGTATGAAGGCGTTGTGATGATGCATGGGGCTAAAGTGACAACCCGGCCGAGGGTCACGAGGTGGAGTGGAACCTGGAGAGAGCAAAGGGCTACTTTGGCCCTGGCCTGGTCCATCAGGCTCTCCCCACCCTTCCTGAGACAGGAGTTCCATCTGGTCACCTCCAGCAGAGATGCAGTTACTGAGCATGCTCTTGGGCCCTGATGAGATGGTGTAGAAAAGTGTTCCAAGATCAGGTCCTTTGAGGAGTGATTTTTTTTTTTAACAGGAAAAAAGTGAGGTTAATTGAGGGAAAAATAACAGGGAAAAGCTCCAGCTATTCTCCAGGGCCCGCTTTCCCTTCTGTTTTCTTGACTTTTCAACGTTAGATTGATCTGTTTTCTAGAGTATGGCCACTACACCACCCGGCAAGATTGGATGCAGCCAGGCGTGGCGGTGCATACTGTAATCCCAGCAATTTGAGAGCTGAGGCAGGAGGATTGCTGCAAGTTTGAGCCCAGCCTGAATTGCATAGTAAAACACTGTCCTAAAATGATAAAATGAAACAAAAAACCCATAAAATAAGGTATCCAATTTTTCCTGTTATGTATGGATCAAAGATTTACCTCATGAGGCTCACCTTCCTGGTTTGTGAAGTCCTTTGTGGCTGTCCTGTTCCTTAGATTGCCTGTGTTATTCATTAAACCACCACAGATGCTGCACTGAGGGCACTCACGTGGATGAGTGAGGTTGGCCCTGCCTTCCAGAGCTTCCGGCCCCGGAGATGAGGAGTAGGTGCAGGACTGCGTGGCCCTGTTTCCTGCAGTGGGGCGAAGGAGTGAGCGATGGGTGCCGGGAGCCCACTGCCTGGGGTCCGCTTCCCATGTGGCTGCTTGTTAGCAGTGCTGCTTAGCTAATCCCTCTGTCCTCCCTAGGATGGATCAAGACCAGCTATGTGATTTATGAAATGAAAAGAATGAAAGTATTAGACCCTTATTTAAAAGGTATCAAAGCATTTTGTCCATGAATAGCCTCTTTTTTTTTTTTCTTTTTTTTTTTTTGGTACCAGGAATTGAACTCATAACCTTGTACTTGCCAGGCAGGTGCTGTGCCACTGAGCTGTATTCCCAGCCTTTGCTATTAACTTTTCTATAATGGTTACTCTCATCCGGCAAAACAAATTGTCAGCAAAAGCCATTTATTTTTCCTGTGAAACACTGATAGTCTGCTTGGAAAACCTAATCTCTCTTGGTTAGGGATCAAGTTATCAAAACAAGGCAGGGCTGGGGTGAAGCACAGTGGCATAGCACCTGCCTGGCAAGCGTGAGGTCCTCAGTTCTATTCCTGGAACCAAAAAACAAAACAAAAAACCAAGAAACACAATGTAGTCCCTACTCAGAGCCCAGTTTTCTGCCCCAGCCAGTCCATCGGGGCAGCATCATAAGAGCCAGACCTGTATTTTAAGAGCCTTGGCCCCAGGACGCATGAGTGAGGGCCTGCTCTGTGCCCAGAAGCTCTCCAGTGAGGGACCAAGAAGGGTCACCCCCAATCATGAGAGGGTGCACCTTTCAGGCTCCTCACCCTGCTTGGTGTCAGGAGGGAAGACTGTCCCTCCTGAGATGGCTTTTTTTTTGGTACCGGAGATCAAACTCATGACAGCGCTTGCCAGGCAGGCGTTTGTGCCACTGAACTAAATTCCCCGCCCCCTTTGATGGCTTTTACCCTCTGCTAATGTCAGGGTCCAACCACTCCACGCACAGAGGCTCTCCAAAGCACAGGGAGAGGCTCAGTGTGACCTGGTGCCATCTGTGGCACCCTCGATTGCTGTGTCCTTCCGTGCCCATCACAGGGCAGCCAGGCAGTGGACACTGAAGTGAGTCCCTCTCTCACCCATTGTTGCCCCATCCCCACTACCTGTGACCATCACCATGAGCCTGTCATGGTGATGCTTGTATGTTTCCTGAAAAAGCCAGAAGCCACGTATTTCTTGGGGAGCAGTTAATGGGAACAGGCTCTTGTAGATGGCTCTGCCTTATAAAGTCTATCTAAAACTCTTTTTTGGTAATAGGGTCTAGTTATGTAGTTCAGGCAGGTTTTGAACTCACTATGTGGCCTTGAACTCGCACTGATCCTCCTGCCTCAGCCTCCCGAGTGCTGGATTATAGATATATGCCACCACACCCAGTTTAAAACTCACTTTTTTCTGAAAAAATTTAAAGAAAATTCTTCTGTTTGGAAAATTCTAACAATTGTTCTGAGTTTAATTAACTATACATCTTAATTTCTGTGATGACAACTGTATATTTTAAAGTGCACTTTGGTACATGCCTGTAATCCCAACACTCAGGAGGCTGAGGCAGGAAGATCACTGTGAGTTCAAGAACAGCCTGAATTGCATGGTGAAATCCTGTCTCAAAAAGACAACAACAACAAAACAATAAAGTACCCTTGTGCTCTAGTTATCAGGAAAGAGTGTTGGCTTCAGCAGCCAATGCTGAGGGGCCTCTGATACCTTTCAGCTGGCACCAGGTTTCATAAAATGATTAACAGATATTTACTGAGCATTTGTTACAAGTACCGTTTTTTAGACTCTGAAAATACTCGGATCTGCTCACCAAACACTTACTGAGCTTTTCCTGACTGCTGTGTGCCGACAGAGAAAGAGAGCAGAGTGACAGGGCCAGACCTGTGCGGCCCCCAGTGGGTAGAGGACACGTTCCTTGGTTATGCGCTGTGTGCTGAGGGTTCTGAGTGACCTGCGCAGGTGGCGAGGGGGACACTGTGTCTCACAGAGAGGCATCACTCTGCGTCACTCACCTTCTGCTGCCGTCGGGTTGGCCCATACGTAGCACCTTAGGACGTGGGTGTGTGTTCTCTCAGGCATCTTCTGGGCACTGGGCTGTGAGGTGGCGTCGGTGGCTGATTTGGCCCAGGTCTTCCTGTGGCTGTGGTTCCCGAGAAGTGTGGGCAGGTGTCAGCTCCCCGCTGGCTGTCAGCCAGGGCCTCACCCCCAGAGTCTCCTTGCATGGCTTGTTGGATATCCTTAGGATGTGGTAGCTGGCTTGTTTGTGTCTTTTTGAGACAGGGTCTTGCTATGCAGCTCAGGCTGGCCTTGAGCTCGATTTGTAGCCCAGGCCGGTCTCGAACTCCCAACGATCCTCCTGCCTCAGCCTCCCGAGTGCTGGGATTACAGGGGTGCGCCAGCACACCCGGGTTTTACAGTGTCTTTTATAACCACATCTTGGAGGAGACGTTCCATCACCTCTGCCAGGTTCTCGTGCCCACACGGCCCACACTGGGGAGTCGGGCAGAGGTTGCGCAAGCACATGGGACCTGGGGGTGGGGAGCACTGGGCCACCTGGCTGGCACCGCCACCTCCACTGGTCAGGAGAAGAACACAGGAAAGCGGGCTGTGTGGGAAGAGCCACTGCCCAGGCCTGGGGAGAGCAGGGTGTCCCTAGCAGGCCCGCATGCCCGAGTTCACTGATGTGCCTGACTGTGTCCTGCTGAGCCTTAGGACAGGGCGTGTTTGAGCTGGTTCCCAGCCTCCCGTGCCCTCCCTGTGGGCAGGGCACAGTGGTGGGCTGGCAAGTGAGTGCCATGTAGTAAACTGTCTGTGTTAATAGTTTAGAGTCAGTGATGAAAAATAACATTTATTATCATAACAAAAGACACCCGGGGCGGTCTGTGTCCCAGCCAGGTTTGAGCTGTCCAGGTGAAGTGGTGATGGAGCTCCAGTCTGTGGCCTGGACTCACCCAGCCAATGGCAATTAACTAATAACTGAATTCCACGTTTTCCTTTCAGGTGTGCTTTGACTGTGGCGCCAAAAACCCCAGCTGGGCGAGCATCACCTACGGGGTGTTCCTCTGCATCGACTGCTCGGGCTCGCACCGCTCTCTTGGGGTGCACCTGAGCTTCATCCGGTAAGCGGGCTTCCTGCTTTGGCTGGGGGGGCCCTGCTGCACCGTGGGGGCCTCCCTGTTTCTCGTTGTGTTGGCTTGGATGGCACGCAACACTCCCGGCCCGCTGGGAGGTGTGGAGATTGAAATCTCACTCCCTACGCTGCCAAGCGGGGTGCTTCCTGTTTAGGTCCTATCTAGAGACCTCGCCAGGGGCTGAGGCAGTGATGTTGAAGACACAGTCAGAAAAGAGTCTGTCTGTCTGTCTGTCTTTCTGGTGATACTGGGGATTGCACCAAGGACGCTTATGCTGAGCTACATCCTCAGCCATTTTTTTATTTAGAATCGAGGTCTTGGGGCTGGGGATTTAGCTCAACGGCATAAGCACCCACCTTGCAAGTGTGCAGTTGTGAGTTCGGTCCCCAGTACCAAAAAAAAAAAAAAAAAAAGAATCAGTGTCTCGCTGGATCACTAAGTTGCCTCGGCTGGGCTCGGACTTATGATCTTCCTGCCTCAGCCTCTCAGAGTCCTGGGTTTGCAGGCGTGCACCACCACACCTAGGTAGATGGAGCCTTTCGAGGCCGGGTTTCCTTTCCCTTCAGTGTCTTCTCTCGAGCTAGGGCCCACAGCACCCCCTCCTGCACCCCATGCAGGTAGGAGTTGGTGTGATGGGGATGACCTGTGTCACCTCCAGCCTGGCTCCCGAGGACAGCAGCAGTGTCCAGCCTGAGCGATTGACTTTCAGCTGCTTTGCGGTGGCAGTTTCAGGTGCTCATAATGCCGAGGTCTTTCCTCTGTCCTGCTGAGGACTTGGGCAGCAAGCAAATTCTCATCCACTTTTGACACTATGGCCTCTGTGGGGCTCGGTGGGCATTTGAGAAGGGCGCCCCTGGGGACAGACAGTGCCCCCGGCCCCGGGAGGTGGACAGAGCCCTGTGTGAGGTAAAAGAAATTGAGATCATAAGTGATCGGGGTCCTCAGGCAGGCTCAGGGCCTGGGAGCTCCGCGGGGCCTGCGCAGCTGTCCCCTATCCTTGCCGGACCCTCCCACGGGTCCCCTGCGACAGCCTTTGGAGGTGTAGAATTCCACATCCCCTGATGGCTCACGTGTTTGCCGGCCTCTGGTTTTCCAGAGAAGGAACCCGATTGGAAGGTGATTTGGCACTGTGGCAGGTGGTGCGTTCCTCTCCTGACCTCAGGGAGGCTGACGCAGCAACATCTCTGCAGAGAAGCAGCGTTCCAGCGGGAGAAAAGCCGTTTCAGCCCATGATGAGGCATTTTGTGTGATGGTACAAAGCTCTAGAGTGATAATCACAGCGTAGTTTCCTTCCTTCCTTCCTTCCTTCCTCCTCCTCCTCCTCCTTCTTCTTCTTTTTTTGTCTTTGAGACAGGGTCTCACTATGCAGTTCAGGCTGGCCTTGAATCTAGCAATCCTGCCTCGGCCTCGTGCGTGCTGGGATTACAGGAGTGCTCACCGCTGCCTGGCTTTCACTGCCTTTTTTTATGGTTCTTTTCAGTTTATTGCAGAAAGGAGCTCCACTCGTCTAAGCAACAGCAGACCCCGAAGGGTTACATTATACAAGCTGGAGGTTTTTAACTTAGGACAGGGGATGAGCACAGGAGGCCTTGTGCTCATCATAGGGAAATCCGCACTTAAGCTTCAGCGAGCCACGGGCACCCACAGCGCCTGGACCTTCCGCTGCCGGCCTAGGCCAGTCTGCTCTCTACCCGGAGCCTCCTGCGCTCCTGTGCTAGTCGCCCTGGAGCCAGGTGGCCTCTCGTGTTCTGCACGCTCAGTGACAGTCACCTTTCTTGATCATCGGTGACCCCGGACAGTAGTGAGGGTCTTCCTGCCGGCTCCCTGGTGGATTCCGATAGGGCGGAATCCCCAGGGCCGTGGGGAGGCAGGTCGCCCCACTTTCTTGTATCGCCAAAGGGGTGGAAAGGGTGGGGGTTCCGGGAAGTGGGCACATGATGCGGTGCTTTACCTCGGGGAGACGCCCACCTGCCCACCTGCCCGTCTGTCTGTGGAAGGCGGCTGTGGGAGAAGTGGGCCGGGAGTTGGGGGGACGACTTGCAGGGAAGTGGGGCCCAAGGGGCAGCAGCTGAGTCCTGGCAGCAGTTCAGTGCCCACGGTTGACTTTGTATTTTTGAGACGGGGTCCTGCTGGCTCCTCTGCTTTAGGCTTTGGGGTGCTGGATTATAGGCATGCACCCCTGCCCGGTTTACAGTCTGTTTTCAGGCCCTGTTACTGTCTTGTCTCTGAGTACCTGGTATGAACAGGACCTAAAGTTTTTTTGTCCCTGGCTTAGCATGATGCCCTCGGGGTTCATCCTGGGGTGGCACAGGCTACAGTGCCCTGAAGCCATGCCCCCCAATCTTTCACATCTCGCTGCTGCTCCCCCGCTGGGAGACATTGTGTGCACCTGTACAGATACCTCCTGCAGGGCTGTGTCCCCAGCCCTGCAGCCAGCTTTAAAGGTTGGTGAGATCTGACCTGGGCCACACAGCAGGAAAGGGGAGGTCCACACCGAGACTTTGAGAAGAGACACAGAGTCAGGAAAATCAAAGTGCTTCAAAGCTGATTCTTTTTTTTCTCCGTCTCTGTCTCCTCCCTTCCTTCCTTTTTCCTTTGTTGGGTTTTTGAGACAAAGTCTCACTATGTAATTCAAGCTGGGCTCAAACTCACAATGGTACTCCTGCCTCAGCCTCCCCAGTGCTGGGGATTATAGACAGGTACCACCATGCCTGGCTGCTGGTAAATGTTCTCTCTCCGGGAAGGAAGCCCTGATGTAGAGCCCAGCTTCCGAGCTGTGGTCAGTTCTCCTACGCCTAGGAAGATGAGGAGAAGTAAGGTCCCACACGGAAGGGCTCTGTGATGTTTGGTGTCCAATTACCCGCCAGGCTGGAGCTCAAACTCCCTCCGGAGGTCCTCCCAGGTGACACAGGGCACAAGTGACCTGACCTGGGCAGCGCAGGCACAGCCTCGGGAAGGAAGGCTGCAGCCAGCGTCCCCAGGGCCATCCCTGGTGGCTCTGGGCTGCACCTCTGCAACTTCCTGAGCATGGGGCTGAGGACTCGAGGCCTCGTTGTGCGGGGTGTCGGGAAACACAGAGATGAAAACCCTGTAAGCTCAGCTAGTGCCAGGCCCAGCCGGTGCTGGCCACTCCCAGCTGGGACCTGAGAGGAGACAGGAGCGCCCTCTTGCGTTGCCACCGCTGCCCAGATGTGGTGACGTTGGAGGATGCGGTCCTGGAGCTTGTCTGGGGGAGGAGTGGTTGTGGTCCACTCACTGTTTTAAATTTTAGCTCCATGGAAACTTTGTTTTGTTTCCTTAGTGAGATTCAGTCTGGTTTCATAAGTTTCTGAAATCTTTTAGCTGTAAAAATAAAACCTGTAAACTACAAAAAGCATGGTGACTTTAGTTAAAGTTGGTTCATGCAGTTTTGAAGTTTAGGTGAGGGACACACATTTGCAAAGGCCTCTGGAAACCTGTCTTTATGAGGTGGTGGTTACTTTGTTAAAGTGACACCGATTTGTTCCTGAGTCTTTCTCACCTTCTCTGGTTACTGAGCACCCTGAAATTTTGTGTACCCCCTCATCAGGATTGATGGGGGCCCCTGGCACCTAGGTCAGCGGGGGTGGGGGGGTCTGCCTGCCTGCTCTGGGTTCAAGTCCTCGTGCTGTGGTCCGAAAGGATTCCAGGAGCTCAGGCTGAGAGCGGATTCCTTTTTTTTGTTTTTTGTTTTACCTAAAATATTTTAATTTCTCAAGTTATTAAAATTTAAATAATTTCATTGTACAATAACTACTCTTCTGTACCCCAAGAATGCAAAATTTAGCAAGGGTGAAAGAGGAAATTTTGTTTTTGTCTTTTTGAGACAAGGTCGCACTACACAGTTCAGGCTGGCCCTGGGCTCACTTTGTAGCCCGGGCTGGTTTTGAACTTGCAGTTGCTCCTCCTGCCTCAGCTTCCTTTCCAATGTTTCACCTTGGTTTCCACAGACTGCCCAGGGGCATCTCTGGCCTCCTCTCCGTAAAGACTGGAATGAGAACGGGGAGGCAGGTGACCTCGTCTGGGTGCTTAGGTACCACTCTGACCTGAGTGTCCTGTCCATGTGGCTTCCAGCCACAGGAGGTCCACCGTGAGCAGGCGGCACTGCCCAGACTTTTCAGACGTTAGCGCCTTTACTTTCTGCAAGGGCAGAATAAACAGTAGCAGTCACACCCGCATGCTGCGGAGAAGGGGCTTCCCTCAGCTCCCACAGCCAGGGAGGGCCGCGGGCCGCGCTGGGACTCTGCGCTGTCTGTCTGCAGACCGCCTGCCCCTGCCCTGGGTCACAGCTGAGACGGTGCAGCCCGGCCTGGTCTGGCTGCTCATTGAGCTTGGTGGTCAGAAATTCTGACCGTAGAGGGCGCTGTTTTTCTTTGTTTCATCTGTCGTGGGAATCTATTTTTAAAAATGTTAGGGAAGTCTGTTTCTTACAGCGTGATTAAATCTCTGCTTTGTGCTCATCAGCATACAGTGGATTTGTCACTGCATTAGTACTACGCTGAAGTTAGTGTTGCTGTCTTGGTCACTTTTCTCTTTCTGCTGGGACAAAATACCCGACACCCAAAATGAGGGAAGGAAAGGTTTATTTAGCTCATTGTTTGTGGAGGTTTCAGCCCATACCCAGCGGCACCAAGGCAACAGTTCAAGGAGCAGCCAGCAGAAGCAGCAGGGGGGCAAAAGTGGGGAGCACAAACCTCTTTTGATCCCTTACATTGTACTCAGGCCATCCCACCTCTCCCACCCCCAACCCCGCAGGTATAGCACTCAAAATCTCCTTGGCCTTCTGTTGCACAGGCTAAGGATATTTACAAAGTAAGAACCCTGGCCCCCTGAGGAATCTTTTAGTTAAACTACTCAACTCCTCAAGTTGACACAGTGTATCAGCCGTAACAGTCACCTTCAGAATAGCTGCTAACATTTACAAAGACTGCAAGGTGTGGTGGTGCACACCTGTAATCCCAGCACTCAGGAGGCTGAGGCAGGAGGATCACTGTGTGTTTGAGGGCGCCTGGGCTACTTAGTGAGTTCAAGGACAACCTGAGCTAAGTAGTGAAATATTTTTAATTTACAAAGGCCCTTCGAAGGGGCTTAGAATCGAGTCAGTGGGCCCAGCTCAAAAGGAAATTTTGCAAGTCTGCAGCCTCTTCGTGCTGCTCACACTCCGTCACTTGGTAACGCATGTCTACACATAGTCATCCTAGTCTGGGTCCTTCGGGGCCGGCCTGGGGCGGCTGCTGTGCCTGCAGCTGAGCCCTTGGCTGTGTGTTGCTGGGAATGCCGTCAGTCTGTCCTCTCTGCTGGAGGTGGTGTGGGGCAGATCACTGCGCAGGCCCCTGGGGGCTCTCACACCTCTGCCGCCTGTCTGGGCAGTGCTGGGCAGAGGAGGGTCCAGACAGGCTCATGTCGCATGCACTCATGTTGCAGGTTTTCACTCCTAACCCACTGGGGAGAGCAAACAGCAGGCAGCCCACAAGACCTTCACATGCCTTGGCAACAGGATGCCAGTGCTGCTAGCCTGGCACAGCCTGCCCACGGGCTGGGCACAGGACAGGCCATTGAGCCGTCGAGGCCTCGGCTGCCAGCAAGGACACGAGGAGCTGGGGCTGCCTGTGCCAGCTGTCACCCACCCAGAGGCACCAGCACCCCAGAGGCCGCCACTCCTTCGGCCCCTGCAGGACAAGGAGCTGGTTTTCAGGAGCGCAGGGGTTTGGTTCTGGAGAAGAAGGGCGTTAACGCAGAGGAACATTCTTTCTTCCAGATCCACAGAGCTGGATTCCAACTGGGCCTGGTTTCAGCTGCGGTGCATGCAAGTGGGAGGAAATGCCAACGCCGTAAGTTCGCCCTGGCGTCCGAGCCCTTTCGCTGTGCCCTGGGTCACTCTCGCGAGAGCTGCTGCCCGCGTGTGGGGCCCTCGAGGGCCGCTTGTTCAGTGTTTTGGGCCTTGTGAGTTCGAGGCTCTGGCAGCCCGTCGGTGTCAGTGTGGTTACAGGAAACTAACCAGAAGGTGGCGTGGCAGCTCAAGGGCTGGGATGTGACATGTGCCAATGCCCAGTGCCATCAAAAACAGACAGACAGACAGGATGTGGCTCCCATGTCTGGCCGCATTTTTGCCTTTTTTTTTTGTATTATATATTTTATATACAGCCTGAGATAATTCTTCATTCAAAAAGGAGGTAAAAAAAAAGAAAAGGACAGAAAAGGGCGGTCTGCAGGCCTGACGCGGCTGGTGCAGCAGCCAGAAGCATCTCTATACCCAAAATATTCCACGAAACAGAGCTTTACCACGTGTATTTGAATTAGTATTTAATTTATTACATCTATAAATAAAAAACTATTCTTCAAATACAAAAGACAAGTGTCACAGAAACTAAGTGGTTTAAGAGCTTTCCTTGGCTGCGTTTACAGACATGCCTAACCATCCACAAATGTGAGCTTTACTGATAAATTCAGTGTCCCTGAGTCTCTCCCCATAGCCAGCCAAGGCTTGTGGAGCTCTGTGATGCCAAGGTGGGCCATCTGGAGCAGAGGGACCCTTGGACGTGCCGTTAGTACGAGGCGCCCTATCTGTGTACATTTCAAGTAAAAATAATGCCAAGCATCAGTTATTTAAACCTCTAATTGTAAGTCTAAACTAGATTTGGAATTACCAGATTCCCTTAGGCCAGTGTTTGTTTGTTTCTTTCTTTCTTTCTTTTTGTGGAACCTGGAGTCAAACTCACAACCTGGCGCTTGCCAGGCGGGCTCCGTGCTGCTGGGCTGTAGCCCAGCCCTGCTTTGTTTTAATTTTAAGCTTCACTGGGTTGAATGTTTCCTAATGAGGGACAGTGAGTACTGAGGTGTGGGTTTAGAGAGCCGCAGGCGGCTGCAGGACCTAAGCATTAGAGGCGCCTGGCGTGGAGCTGGAGCCCTTGCCCTTCCTCCTGCCGTGCGGGCTCTGCACTGCTCTGTTGCACCCTGAGTCTGCGCCCGCCTCCCAGCTGTGGTGCAGACCCTCGGGCCATGGCAGCCAGGGCAGGGAGGGGCTCTGCTGGAGCAGCCGCCTGCTCTGGGTGGCCTTAGCCAAGGTGTCGGATCCTGTGCTTCCGTGTCCCCAGCCGTCCAGTGAGAGGCCAGTGGGACTAGAAGTGCCACTGCGAGCCCGCTGCCCCCAGAGAGCGTGGACAGGCCCTGCCACGCATGGGCATGGATGTAGTTCCCATAGGACCGCCCTGCAGGCGCTGTGGTTCAGGTCCACGTGGCTGCAGAGGTGTGGAAGGCAGCTGCTTCTGGTCATTTGGAGTCTGCCCAGTCGCCTGGCCTTTGTGGGATCTGTGTCTGAGTTAGTGAAGAAAGGTGGACATGGGCGCGGCCCCTGACTGAATTGTCAGGGGTTCTGATATAACAAAACACACGCAGGGCAGCCCCAAGCGGCCTCATGGGGCCAGGGCCAGGTCCTTGCTCTCTAGCGCGAGTGTCCATCTGGTCTGACCAAGTCACGCTCTTGCGTTAGTGCGGGGAACTCCCGGGGTACAGAGGGAAAGCCCGTTGCACCCTCTCATGACACCGAGATGACTTCAGTTGGCTTTCAGTGACGGCTTAAAGATGCCCTGTCCCTGCGGCCATCCTGGTCAGGATGTCTGTCCCCCGGCAGCCACCCCACAGCCCGCCGCTTCCCCCCACAGGCCTCCTTCTTCCACCAGCACGGCTGCGCCACCAGCGACACCAATGCCAAGTACAACAGCCGCGCTGCCCAGCTCTACCGGGAGAGGATCAGGTCGCTGGCGTCCCAGGCCACACGGAAGCACGGCACCGATGTGAGTCCCAGGGAGCCGGTGCCTCGGGCTTGTGCCCATCGGTGGAAACCGGGCTCCATCTGATCATGGAGCTTCGTGCGAGCGCTGCCTCGGGAGCAGTGTGCAGCCCACGCTCGGGCACCGCAGGGCAGGGCGTTCAGCCTGTGGTCACCTCTGCTCAGGTGGTCAGCACCCCGCCTTATTCCAGGGCTGTTTCTGTGGAAAGGTAGCTCACTGCAGGGTGGAGCTGAGCCTTGCGCTGAGCGCTGGCCGGACTTGCACCAGGCCTGAGCTTGATCCCCGCCCTGGAGGGTAGGAAGGAAGGAAGGAAGGAAGGAAGGAAGGAAGGAAGGACGGACGGACGGACGGACGGACCTTATTTAATCTATAACAGTGGTGACTCGGAGACACTGAGCTCCTGCCTCAGCGCAGCCTCTATGACACCTGTGCCTGTGGGAAATCGCTTCCTGAGGTGAGGGGTGCTGGACGGCCACCAGCCATGGGGGTATTTTGCACACTGCAGAGAGCATGCAGGCGGGAAATGCGGCCCTGACCTGACAGGCTGCAGGGAGGGTGCTGGTGAACGCGTGAGAGGACGCACGCCAGAAAGCGGGGTGAGCCACCGCTCACTTTCCAGTGCACAGTGTCTGGGCCTGAGTGGGGACACCACAGGCCACAAGTAAATTCACGTGGGGGAGCACGTGGTTGCACAACACGGCTGGGCGTGGGCTGGAGCCTGTGCTTACACAGGAAGCTCTTGAACTTTCCTTTGCAGAAAGGGTTTCCCGGGAGCAGGGAGAAAGGCAAAAGGAGGGGATGGGAAATGAATTACAGGGTGTCTGGTCCTGTGCCAGCTCCCTGTGATAAGCAGCAGCCTTGCGTACTGCAAAGATGCACTAACAAAAATGTAAACTGGGCGTGGTGGTACACGCCTGTAATCTCCGTACTCAGAAGGCTGAAGCAGGAGGATCACTTTCAATTCAAGGCCAGCCTAGGCTACATAGCGAGACCCTGTCTCAGAATAACAACAACAACAAAACTTAAACAGAAGGGATTTCTGGAGTTGGATGTTTGGCTCCCTCAAGGTTTGGAGGCAAACTGCACTGGAGCAGCGGGTTCCTGCAGTGCTGCAGAGCCCTGGTGCTGTGGTCACAGAAGCCCCGTGTCCAGCAGGCAGCCCCACGCAGGCCTGTGGGTGCTGAGCTGGCTCTGTTTCTGTTCCAGCTGTGGCTCGACAGCTGTGCCCTTCCACCTTCGTCCCCACCACCAAAGGAGGAAGACTTTTTTGCTGCACACGTCTCTCCCGAGGTATGTATTACGGTTCCCCACATCTGGGGGTGGGTTTATTCTGAAAGTTGTGTAGCTATTTAACATGTGTCCATTAGGGTATAGGCTAAGCCACAGGAGTAAGCAGCTCTCAGAAGACAGGCGTTAACACCGCCCATTCAGAGACAGCTGCCCAGGATTGCCTGGTATCTTAAATAACTTTCTTATTGATGGGACAAAATACCCAGCACCATAGGTTCAGTGAGACATACAGTCTGTAAAGTTTCAGTCCGTAGCTGGCTAGCTGCAAGGCAGGGCAGCATGGCAGAGAAGCAACAGTCCATGGCACAGCAGTCAGGAAGCATCAGAGATCAAAGGAAGAGGAGGGAGAGAGCTGCACGGCACACCTCCCAGTGACCCCCCTGCCTCCCGGGGACCCACCCCTTCCACCAGCCTTCGCTTCCCCTTCCTGGGAACCCTTCAGTGGACTCATCCAGTGATAAGTACTGCACACCTGTGACCCAGTCTCCCAGATGTAAACCATAACACCCAGGGAGTTTGCTTTGCTGTCCCCCATGTGTGACTTCCATGGAAGGGTCTAGTGTGGCTGCTCTGGTTTGGGACCTTTCCTAGATCATAGTAGAGGATGGACATCCTGGAAAGCAAACCCTGCACCCTCTGTACAGACACAGTCCAGAGAGGGCACATAGCGCTCCTGCCTGTGACCTCTGAGCTGGAATGTGGTTATCTGTCTGTTCCTAGCTACTGGGAAACCAGACATTATCCCCGGCAGTGGCCACGGGGAACTCGGAGCTTTGTTTGTTTTTTTTTTTTTGGTCTTCATTTTTATCAGTACCAGGAATCGAACTCAGTACTGCCTGCTTGCAAGGCAGGGGCTTATGCCGCTGAGCTAAATCCCCAGCCCTGGAGCTTTGCATCTGGCAGTTTTAACAGGGGCAAGGATCTGTGCCGAGTGCTTCCGCTGAGTGTACTGCGTGTGTCTCCAGACCACGTGAGGAGTCTCGGTGTGCACACGGGCAAACGAAGTTGCTTCCTAGCACACAGCGAGCTTTTAGTGGAGGCCGTGAGGATCGTTTTCCTTGCTGCTTTGGCCTGACAGTGACAGAAACAGCAGTCCTGGTGCCTCTGTGGCTTTCTCCACGTTCCCTTGCTAAGGGACGGGACCCCAGGAACGTGGCATCACCTTCTGCCACCCTTGGGTCCGGGCCAGGCGTCTCCCTGACATGTGGGCTCTAGAGGGACGTGTGAGGTGCAGGCCCTGCACTGGCCACAAGGCTTTGTTGGATGCAGTTTCCTTGCTATAATAATTTGCATTGTGTTTCCCCAGTGCCACCAGAAATAGTTACGAAAGGGGGAGTGGAGAAGAGGGGCCAGGTGGCCTCGTGGTTTGTTGCTGTCTTGCCACTGAATTCGATGTAGACTGTCCACAACCGGCTGCTGAGGAGTCAGGAATGGAGGTGGTGGGCGGAGAAGCCGAGGAACACAGACTGTCGGAGAGGCAGCCGCAGCGTTCCCAGTTAGCACAGATGTCCCAAGCTGGGTTCCTAACCGCTGCTCTGAATCCCTCCCCCCGGAGAGCTGAGCTGAGGCCCCAGGCAGGGTGGGCTCGCAGCGCAGGGGAAAGGAAGGGCCACCCCAGGTGTGGCCGGGAGCAGAGGGAGCGGCTGGGGATAACGAGGAGAAGAGGACAAACTCAGCAGAGGGTTCCTTCCCCACAGAGTGCACCGAGCTGGGGTCAGGTCATCCAGGCCAGTGTCAGGCCACCGACATGGTGTGGGGAGAGGACCCCTTCTCCGTGTGCTTCTCCAAGGGTTTTCTATGAAGCGCGCAGGGCGGGCCACGCCAGGGCAGAGGCTGGCAGGGGTGCCAGGGCGGGAGGGGGGACCCCTCAGGCCTGCACTGAGCCGACAGTGTGGCCCGCAGTCATGCCTGGTGACAGTGCTGCGATGGGGGATGACAGTGACGGCCTTGCCCAGGGTTCAGCAGCAGAGGAAGCCAGGTGGGCACGGGGAGCCCCTGGCAGTGCACTCACAGCCCTGTGCAAGTCCAGAGCATCTCAGAGTAAACGTTAGGTTCTCACGGAGGGAGGGAGGAAAGAAGGGAGCGGCAGGCACTGAGCACCGAGGCAGGAATTTAAGAACAGGTGCATCTGAGCCCTGTTTCCATGGAGCGGGGTGCTGACGTGAGGCCCTGCCACGCTTGGGTTCTCGGGGCTGTTCTGCTCCTTGTGTCGATGACTCTCCTCCCCTCTGCAGGTGAGCGGCGCGGTACAGGTGACGGCACAGCCAGAGCCAGAGCTGTCAGCACTTCGGGGCACAGGAGCCACAGCTGGCGATGACGAAGGTGGGGCCTGAGAGCTGCCGGAGAGCCAGGCACGCTAGGACACTAGGAAAGTGGAGGTGTTACCCGCAGCTGGCTGTGGGGGGCAGGCTGCAATCCCGGCACTTGGGAGGCTGATCCTCAGAAGTTCAGGGCCAGTCTGGCCTACATAGTAAGCTCAGAAACTTCCTTAACTACACAGTGAGACTGTCTCAAAAACTAAACAAAACAAAACCCAAACCAAACTAAAATGATAAAATGTATTTTAAATGAAATTTTAACATAGTTTGCAGCCAGGATCATTTATATTTTTAAATTAGAAAAAAAAGAGAAACAGCCAGTGGCTTGGCAACTGAAACTTGGATTTCCATTGAGGTACTGGTGTTAGAATTTCCACGTTTTTGACATCAGGGGAAGTGCATGTGTGCGTGCATGCATATGTGTGTGAGTGTACATAAACACTAGGTAGCTCAGAACAGGTCACTTTAGAACACCAGAGAAGCTTGGTGAGGTGGTGCCTATAACTCTATTATTCAGGAAGCTGAGGCAAGACGATCACAAGTAAGTTCAAGCCAGACCAGAATACATAGCGAGACTGTGTCTCAAAAAACAGAACAAAAAATTATTAAAAACACCAGATTATCAGGTATTAGTCTGACAAACAACATTAAATGGAGACAGCTCATATTTTTATGATATAAAACTATTAAACAGAAAATGTACTTGCATTTTAATGGCTTTCTAAATCAAATTCTTAGAGCATAGCTGTACCATGCTCTGCAGGAGAGCAGAAGTGTGGGTGACAGTGATTCATTGTGTGTGTCAGGACAGCCTGGAGAGAAGGGTTTTTTTCAAGACAGTTTCACTGTGTGGTTCAGGCTGGCCTCGAACTCACAGCGCTCCTGCCTCAGCCTCCCGAGCTAAGGCTTCCAGGCGTGCACCAGCATGCCGGCCAGGAGAGAAGATTCCAAGTGTTCCCTGTTCAGAGAAGTGAGAGTCATGCCAGTTCCACATTGTGTACATGTATGGCCGTGTCATGCTTCTCCTGTCAGTGTGTACAGTCGTTACTGTGTCGACTAAAAATCAACACCTTTCATAGACGGTAGTGAGCCTGGCCTGGTAGTGCGCCCCTGTAACCCCAGCTCTCTGGGAGGCTGAGGGCGGAGAATGGCAAGGTCAAGCCCAGCCAGGGCGATTTAGTGAATAGGGAGATTGTCTCAGAATTCAAAAATAAAGTAGGCTGAGGCCGTAGCTCAGTGAGAAGGCTCTGGGTTCAGACACCTGTGCTGGGGGAAAAAAGTACTAAACAGAAAGGCAGTGATTGCAAACAGGTTCAGACATGTCCGCCTGACCATGTTGCATCGTTACCCAAGCAAAAGCACGTTTGCCAGGAGTGTTTTCTGCATTAAAGTCGATGTTTTCCACTTCAGGGGGCTCCAAACCAGGACCGAGTGTGGAAGGCCTGAGTGCTCCAGCGAAGCCTGCATCAGGTACCGCTGTGGTCCCCGCCTCTGATGGAGGGGTGGCGCAGATACTGCGCAAGACACGCGTCGTCCATGCCGCAGCTCCCGGCTCAGCCCAGAGCTGCTGTCCCTGCCTCAGGGCCACTGAGTCCCAATGCCAAGGCTGCCCACGTCCACGGGCACAGCGCCCACGCGCGCCTGTCCTCCTCCTCTTGTCACCGTGGGCAGGCGTAGCCGTGCTTTGCCAGGGTCAGGGACTTCTCATTGGATACTGGTGCTCCTGTATTGTGTTAATTGGAAGAAACCGCTTTGGGGAAGAACCGCCTCCCTGTCCGGACGTCTTCCTGTCACCGTCCTCCTGGGTCAGACTCGCGGGAGGCTGGACACAGTCGTGCGACAGTATGGTGGAGGCCTTCACGTGGGAAGGGCGCTGGCCCGCCCAGCCCGGCCAGGACTGCACTCGGGCCTCCTGGGCTCACGCTCTGTCCTCCCTTCCGTGCGCACTGTCTGCCTCGGTCTTGTGCTGGCAACGGAGCCCGGCCACATGTTTGTTGGGCTGGCGCTGAGTCACTGAGCCGCTCCTCCAGCCTGCACGTTGCCATCTTGGGAAGAAAAGCAGTGGTTTTATTTTTGCTGGGTCCTTAAAACTGTTTCTAAAAACACAATCTGTAACCTTTGACCAAAACGTACTCAGCTCATGACTCTTAAGAATCTCTAAAAGCATCGTATATTTTTGTGAAATTTAGGAAGCACGGCTACCACACATTTGATCTTAGCCAGAAGGCTGAGGGGCAATGAAAATAGGTGACCAAAGTACTAGTGTGGCCAGGTGTGGGGCAGACACCTGTACTCCCACAGTTGGGAGACTGAGGCAGGAGGATCTCTGAAAGTTCAAAGCCAGCCTGTCTCTTAAAATCAATCAGTCTCTACTTTTTAGAAGCTAATATGACAAGAAGTATATATAAATAGAGGGGGAAAGCACTTTATTGATAGTTTTCATTGCACATATTGCTGGGCTAATTATATATATATATATATATATATATATATATATATATATATACACATACACACACACACACACACACACACACATATATATATATTTTTTTTTTTGGTACTGGGGATTGAACTCATGACCTCACACTTGCCAGGCAGGCACTTATACCGCTGAGCTAAATTCCCAGCCCCCTCATTTTATAATTTAAAGGAATTTTTAAGGGGCTGGGGATGTGGTTCAGTTTTAGAGCACTTGCCTAGCATGCACAAGGATTTGGGGTTCAGTCCCCAGCATCTCAACCCCGAAGAAACAGTAACAAAAGTTTTTAAGCGTACACCTTGATAAGAACGTTTGCTCTTATGTGAGTGGACGTCCCTACTGAAAACAGCCCTTTGGGGCATGGCCAGGCTCTGTTTCTGTTCCTTGTGGCATGCAAAACATGTCGGCGCTGAGTCCAGGCACCGTGTGCAACCTGTGAGGCCCACGGGCCCAAATGGACAAGTGCAGTTGCACATTCCATGTGGCAAACTAATGTGGAAAATGCAGCTGACCTTGGTGGTATGTGGCCTCTTAGACTTTTTAAAAAGGCACCGTAGAGCCGGGCCTGGCAGCCCACACCTGTGATCCCAGCACTTGGGAGGCTGAGGCAGGAGGGTCGTTGAGAGTTTGAGAACCAGCCTGGGCTGTATAGCAAGACCTCTCCCCCAAAAAAGAAGGCACACTAACATGGAAAATTATGTATGATTTTTGTTAATGTGACTTTTCTATTTTTGTGTTTTGGCAGAAGTTTCCTCTCTCATAAAAAAGAAACCAAATCAAGCTAAAAAAGGAGTAAGTATTATATATAAACCACCTCGTAGTTCAGCTTCAGAGCTGGAGAGCCAGTCTGTCCTGTTAGTTTTATTTACTTGTTGTTCAGCCGCCCTGGCCCCTCCTGTTCTGCCCCGCAGAGGTGGCTGTGGGAAACTTTGTCACCTTCTCTGCACCAGCATTGGCCTCAGGGCTGAGCACATGGGCACCCTGAGGTGCCCTCAGCACCTGGTGGGTCACCGCCCCAGGCGCTGCTGGCCGCCATGACCAGAGTCCTCTAGCAGCATAGCTCACTGTCACCTTCCTATGTTGCAGCTTGGGGCCAAGAAGGGAAGCTTGGGGGCCCAGAAGCTGGCGAACGCAAGCTTTACCGAAATTGAGAAGCAGGCCCAGGCAGCGGGCAGGGGGCAGCGGCAGGAGGACCTGCTGGCCAGGCCTGTGCCCACGGAGGAGGCCGTGTGAGTATCGATCTGCTCTGATGACCAGCTTGGGATGTGTGCTGTGCCCCATTTTGGGTGCGGGTGTGTGGGGAAACTCGCACTGAGTTCTGCACAGGCTGGGCCAGGGCTGGGTGTCCCCGGGAAGGAAGGGCCAGCTCCCCCAGAGCGGGTGGGACAGAGACACTGCGTCTGCCTCCAGGCAGCTCGGGTTCCCCTGGGAGAGGCAAAAGAGGGATGAGCGGGGATAGCCACACGCAAGCGAGCACGCGTGTCCATGGCGGCTTGACGCGAGGGACAGTGAATGTCCCTCAGCCAGCTGGCACTTCCGCCCATGTCCCCGCGTATGCCATGCGACAGACTGCAGCAGCCCATGTGGAGGAAGAAGCCAGTCAGCACTGTGTCCCGCCAGGCGCTCCCATGACACGCCCAGCCTAGCACGGTGGCCTTGCGGGGTATTAGGACCATTTCTGTCGCATGTCGCTCTTTCTGTGTTTTCCTCGTACATCGTGGGCATCTTCACAGTGGCCATGTGGAAAAGGGCCAGCAGATGCACTGGGGTCCTGGAGGACACCTCCATGGTACAACAGCACAGGGCGCTGTGGCCGGGTCCTTCGTCCCTGTCCCACACCCCATTCGTGAGGCAGCGCTGACCCATGCTGAAGCCTCCCTCCCGAGACAGTGGCATTGGCACAGACCTCTGGGAAGAGTGGGGTGAGGTCTGCTGTGTAGAAGACCAGGCCTCCTGCTCAGCAGACCTTGGGGTTTTATGAATTGGGCCTGGGAACCCCATTGGCCAGCTCAGGACACCCGCGGACTCCCCGTCACTGCCTCTCGGCCCCTGCTCACCTAGTCGCACACCGGCCTGTGCTGCTCAGGAGGAAGCCAGTGCCCGGCAGGATCGTGAATGAGAGCCTGTAGCCTCGGACTCTGCCCAGCTGCCGGTGGGGCGGCGTGGTGCAGGGAGCTCCAGGAGCAGCCCTGTTCCTTCCCTGGGGAGCAAACAGCTGGTTCTCCTCCATCCCACAGCGGGGCCAGGCCGGGCTGGAGTGGGCACACATGGTGGGAAGGGAAGGAGGCAGCAAGCTCCTGCCCTGAGCTCCTGCCCCATCATCGTGACCTCCAGTGGATGCCCAGGTGCACGCTGGGGGCAGTGACCACCCAGAGCCCTGCATTCTAGAAGGCAAACGCCCCGGTTCCCTGAAATGGAGCCTCCCTGTCCGCTCCTCTGCTCCGGCAAGGTCTGGCAGCGGATCTGCAGTGAAAGTTCCGCCTAGAGGACCTTGAGTCAGTGCTCGGGACCATTCTGCAGTGATGCTGCTACCGAAAACCAGGCTAGAGCAAAGCAAACCGGAATGTCCAGGCTCACCAGCCACGGGTTCAGCAGAAGCCGAAGTTTGTACCACTAAGAAGCGCTGTTGGACCGGAGGTTTAGCTCAGCGGCATAAGCGCCTGCCTTGCAAACAGGCAGTCATGAGTTCGATCCCCGGTACCGATAAAAAGGAAAAAGACAAAAAAAAAAAAAAAAAAAAAGAAGCCCTGTTGTCACTGTTTCTTCCCACGTAGATATTTATGTTACAGTGGAATTTTTACAGTGCCACTTTTATGAAGAATTCATGACATTTCACACATTTTTGTTAATGGACAGGGATTTAGAAATCCTTATAAGGTGTCTGCATCACTTTTTAGGCCCCCAGAGTTTTTTACTATGATGTGATACTATAGTTACTACTAACATAGGTGTGGCTTTCTTAGTGTAACATTAGGTGTTTATTGTATTTTAGAAATGCTTAGCATAAATGTAAGACATATTTTATGCATCTTTTGACTTCTTTGATGCATTGCTATTTTTTGGTGCATTATTAGTAACGGGCATTTCTTGATTGGTAAGCGATGATCATCACTTAAGGCTGTCACAGTCTGAGTGTTGATGGGCGTGGTGGTGCACACCTGTAACCCCCGCACTCGGCAGGCCGAGGCAGGAGAACTGTCACAGTTTGAGGCCAGCCTGAACTACATAGTGAGCTCAAGGCCAGCCTGAATTACATAGCGAGACCCTGTCTCCAAAAGATGAAAATAGAAAGAAATGGTCCGAGAGGTCTGGGTTCAGATGACAGCTGATGGAATCGTCCTTAGTGCATCTGGTTGAGGAGTCAGTTCGGTGTGTTTTACCCTGAGAGCAGAAGGCAGCACTGACACTCAGATGTCATGGGGAAGTATGCTCGGGGATCGGTCCACGGGGAGACCGTGGCTCTGTACAGCCCTTAGAGACATCGCAGGGGCATCAACTGTGTTACTGCCCAGCAGCAGGTCCACATGAACCAACCCTGGACGTGGTCGAAGGGGCTGTAAACCCATTCCCACCTCCTGGGGTGAATGTGAAAGGCCAGCTCCCCTGCATAGTCAGCAGTTCCACCCCAGGCGGTGGCCCCGCCCTGCAATCCCAGCATTCGGGATTAGGCTGCGGCAGGAGGGCCCCCTCCCGTTCGAAGCCATCCTGGGTACAGAGTGAGACTCTGTCTCACAAACAAGCAAACAGCACTTCTGGGAAGAAGTGTAAAGCTGAGAGTGGGAATGGTGGGTTTTGTTTGGTATTTTGCTGTAAGAACCTAGAGTTGAAGCTGACTGGGTCTGTTTTTGTTGTTGTTTCATTCAGCGTGTCGTCCTTACGATTAGCCTATAAGGATCTTGGAATCCAGATGAAGGATGAGAAAATGAACACGAGCGGCAAGAACAAAGCGGAAGCGGAGAGACTGGGCATGGGGCTGGGCACCTGCAGGAGGTAGGGCCGTGCTCGCTGGGCTGCAGGGTCTGCGCAGCCCGCTCATCCGGCGGCTCTTCCCTTCCGGGCTGAGGCGTTTCCCCGGTGGACGGGCCTTCTTGGCATTCTTCCCTCTTTGTTTTGAGATGAGGTCTCCCTCCCTGGGTAGCCCAGGCTGGCCTGGAACTTGAGGCACCCCTCCTGCCTCAGCCTCCTGCGCGCTGTGATCTCAGGTGTGCACCAGCAGGCCTGGCTGCCTTCCCTTCCTCAGGGTGGTGCTGTGCTGTCTGTTCAGCGGCACCTGAGAATCGCAGCCGTGCTTAGGGAAGTGGGGACCCCGCAGCGTAACCCACTCACGGGACAGCTTTGGGTAGCAGCAGTTCTCACAGGACTGCAGCTTTCACTCCGAAGAAGTTTACTCTGAAGAAGCTTGTTGTTGCCTATGTTTTTAACCCTGTTTATAAACACATCTTCATTTGGGATGTCTTGTAAAACATTCACTTCCCGGCGGGGCCCGAAGCGTGGACTGCCTGCCGTAACGCTCCGTCTCTTCGTTTTCTCAAGCGGCATTTCGCACTCGGTGACTTCAGATATGCAGACCATCGAGCAGGAGTCCCCCACCCTGGCCAAGCCCAGAAAAAAGTACCAGGAGGACAGCGAGGATTCCTACTTCAGCTCCAGCTCCAGGTAAATCTGGTAACCACCCCGTGTGGTGCGCAGCGTGGAAGCAGCCTCTCACAGCTGCTGGGTGATTCGTGTTGGGTCAGGTAGCTCTCTGCGGACTCCGTGGTCGTGCAAGGCTTTGGCTGGCAGCAGGCTGTGCTTGGGGTGAAGGTGGGGGCCGTGTGGTGGGAGGAGGCAGGGAGGGAGCCCTGCCCCTCAGCCCCCTGGGCGGCCGCTCCCAGCTCCGCTGTCCAGGTCCTGCTGCAGCTCAGGAGGGGCCAGGGGCAGGGACGCGTGTAGGGAAGAAGCTCTCTGGGCGCCAGTGTGGATTGATGCCCGGCCCAGCCTGGGACCCTGTCCCCAGCACGCCCTGAGGCTCACGCTGGGGTTCCAGTAGTCTGGGGGTTGGTGATAATAGTCTTGACTGGACTCTGCCCGACATTCCTCCAAGAACAGGACTGAAGGATGCGGGTAGCAGGGCACCTGGGTTCCCCCAGAGACGGTCGGGACAGCTGGGGCGCACGGCCCGGAATAGGCTGCATTGCCTGTGCTGTGCGTCCTGGGCGGCGCCCGCCCGTCTCTGTGCTGCGCTTTGGTGCTGTTCCCTCGGCCTGGCTGTGCCCACTCAGGTCTGCAGGGCCGCCGTGAGTGGCTGCTCACTGAGCTCCGGACGGCGCTGGCCTCTCAGGCGGGGCAGGGCCCTTGTGACAGAGACTCAGTGTTGAGGGGCGAGGCCCGGTCTGAGCGCGAGCTTGCTGACCCGTGGGTTAGCACTGGTGACCTGGACATGTGTGCGTCCCGGGCCCTGTTCCCGAGCTCATCCAGGCGCCTCAGCGGACGGCGGCGGACGCCGGAGCTGTGTGTGCGCACGTCCCTCCCTTCTTGCTGTGAAGCCGCTCTCTGCCTGTCAGGCTCTCCTGAGGCCCGAGGGCCGGCCCTGCCTCGGGGCTCAGCCACCACGGTCGGCCGCTGCTGTGCAGCAGGGGGAGATGTCTGGGGACCTACACGCTGCCCTAGACCTCGTCATCGTGGGTCCCGGTCAGTCCCGTTACTAGGGCCCGGGGCACCTGAGGTTAGAATGGACACGAGCCTCTGAAACTAGCCTGTCGGTGCCACCAGATGACGTGTCGGCCGTCAGAACTTGCACACGTGGCTGATGAAAGGGCGCAGCTGCTTGGGTTTTTTGTTGGTTTGTTTGTTTTTTGGTACCAGGAATTGAACTCAGGGCCTCACACTTTCCAGACAGGCACTGTGCTGCCCAGTTACGTTCCCAGTCCACAGACACTGCTCTTGTTAAAGATAAGTCAGAGCACATGCTCAGGTTTGCTCTCTGGTTGAGTCCCACTTCCACACTGTCCAGGATCTAAAGGACTCAGGTGTAGGCTGACTTCAGAACAATGACCTGGAAGGTCAGTGAGGCTGCGGCGGGACAGATGGCATCCGTGACCAGGAGGCCGGTGCCATCGGAGCCCTTAGTGAGGACTCGGGGGTGGGGGGGCATTTCAAGCAAGGAGCCAGGACAGCGGGAGGCCAAGAGTGAAGGGGGAAAGGGGGACCCAGAAACGCAAACTTTGAGGGTGCAGGGAGGTCCATGCTGGGGACACCGGGACACCGGGGGCTGCTGCTCTGTCCCGCTGCCCTGATCCCCTCCTTCCTGGGTGCACAGCTGCCCTGTGCCAGAGCACAGGGAGCCCCTGGTGGGCGCACACTCGGGCTCCTGTGACAGGAGGGAGGCTGTCATCCCCTCAGTCGCGCTAACTGGGCATGGGGTGCTGGAGTTGGGAAGAGCCCCGAGGTGGCAGCACCTGCCCACCAGCCCAGCCCAGCTGGTGCTCACTGGACCACAGCCCCTGGGACACCCCGTCCTCCAGGCCCTGCCCAGCCCGCCCCAGGACGTTCCCAAGCCCCGGGAGGGCAGCGGTGGCGGCTGCTCTCCTGTGTCTCCTTCCAGTGCTGCACCAGGCCCCTGGCCGCACTGCCGGGGTGGCTCACAGGCTGCCCGGGGAAGCGCTCTCGGTGCCGGGCCTGCGCCCGGGCCCCTGCGCACCTCATTCCCGTGCGGGTCACTTTCTGCCCTGGCTCACAGCCCATGTCTTGGGAGCCGTCCTCCGAGGTGGCCGGCCCCTGTTCGTCCTGCAGAGCCGGGCACAGCCGGCCGCCCTCCTTGCTTCTCCCTGGGAGCTGAACACGCTTCAGGCTCCGCATCCTCCTGGAGCTCTGGAAGTGGCCATTGTAACACAACGAGATCCAAATGCCCTTCTTGCCAGAGAAGACTGGAGTCTTTCTCCCAAGGTCCCCAGCACCCCACATCCAGTCTCTGCTCTGGGGCCTGGGCCTGTGTCCTTGGGCTCCTTGGCACTGAGTCCAACCCTCAGTGTGTGCTTCCTCCGCACGCTCCTCATGCGGGACCTGTGCCCACCCGTGGCCCCGTGCGCCCTGCGGCCCTGAGCACCACCCCCAGCAGGGTGCTCGTCCTGTGGACTCCTTCCCTTCTGACACAAACGGGTGCTGTTGGTCAAGACTCTGGTGGGGCCGGCTGGCCCACCAGCCTCTGTCCTGCCCAGGCAGCCTTGCTGTCCCCAGTCAGGGCTGCCACTGAATGCTCTCAGAGCAGGGCTGCTGGGGAGGCTGGTGAGGGCTGTGCCATCCCGAGGAAGGTAACGGGCGCCCAATGTGCTTGCAGTCCCAGAGGGCACTGCCAGCCTGGGCGCCTTACTGCAGCAGCCCCCAGGCCTGCCAGCAGCCGTTGTCTTTAGACCAAAAGACAAAACCTCAGGTGAAGCCCGGCTGTCCCCCTGGGCCCAAGGCCTCCCCCAGCTCTTGTGTCCCCAAAGGCAGCATGGATGGCACTTCCTGCAGGGGTGGCCATGGCGGGCTCGGCTGGGTCACTCAAAAGGCTGTGGCCCCAGCAGGAGAAGAAAGTGTGAGGACACCCTTCCCCTGCCACTGCCCCTTCCTGTACCCGCAGGTACTTTGATGACCCCGGGGAGCTGCGAGGCACCTCCTTTGCTGACTGGGACGATGGCTCGGATTCTTACTGGAGGAAGGAGGGAGGCAGAGAGGCCGAGGCAGCCGGCAGAGGTGCAGGCGGCTCCGACAGGTGTGTGCAGCGGCCTGGGGAGCCCCGAGTGTCCAGGAACCATGAGGCGGCTGCCTGAGGGTCCCCATCGCACCAGGCAGGGACTGTGGTTGGTGGTGGGGTAATCAGTGTCATCTGGGACCTCTCACCGCTCACTGGAGCCTTTCCCCTGGAACCCTGAGCCGCGGGTCGGAAGCCTGGGCCAGGAGGGTCCCCTCATCCCGCTGCAGTAGCGTCTGCCCAGGAGGCACACGTCTTGTTCAGGTGAAGGTGCCAGGAGCATTTTGGTTTTGTTTTTGTTTGGGGCAGTACTAGGGATGAAACCCAGAAAATCTGCACCCAGCTGGCAGTGTGATAGAAAGCTGCAGTGCACCGGCGGGTGTGGTGGCGCACGCCTGCAGTCCCGGCACTCGGGAGGCCAAGGCAAGAGGACTGCCCAAGTTCAAGGCCAGCCTGGGCTCCCTAGCAAGACCCTGCTCACACCCCTCCCCCAAAATCCAAATAAAAACGTAAGGGAGCTGCAGTGAGGGGTGCTGCCTGTTGTCCTCCAGAACACGAACACACACACACACACCCCGTACACACACACACACACCCTGTACACTTACCCTGTTCTTGCCACTTCCTGAAACACTGTGGGGAGCATGATGAGGGGAACGAATAGCTGTGTGTCTTTTGCATAATACATTTTGTAGCTGGGCGTGGTCGTGCACACTGGCAATCCTAACACCCGGGAGGCTGAGGCAGGAAGATGGCCACAAATTTGAAACCAGTACGTTCAAAGCCAACCAGAACTACAGAGTGAGACTCTGTTTCCAAAAAAAAATTTTAATTTAAATATGTTGGTCATGTAAAATGCACTTCTGCCCCTTTTTATTCTGAGAGAGTCTTGCTAGCTGTCTGAGATTTCCACTCAAGGCTCAAACTAACACCCCTCCTGTCCCAGCCTCCCGGAGTGCTGGAACACAGTGACCACCAGCACGCCTGGGCTTAAAGGCCTGGGGACACTGACCACGCTTGCTGCCATGTAGTGAGCACCAGGAGCAGGAAACGACCGGCCGTCACCTCTGCCAGGTGTCCTGGCCCTGTGGCCCATGGCCTGCCTCCCGGCCCCCATCAGGACGTCACGTGACTGCGGTCCCCAGGACCTGGCAGCCTGGGCAGCCTCTGTGGCTCTTCACAGCATGTCTGGCTGGCCTCCCTCCTGTGGCCCCGTCCCCGGGGGTGGGGGGTGGTTGAGCACCTGTCAGTGATGGCACAGGAAGGGTCCACAGAGTGATGCCTGCACCAGGAGCGCACGCCTGTGGGGCCCAGCCTGGAAACTGATATGCAGATTCTGCTAACTGCACCCTGCAGGGTGGCACCTCGAGCTCCACAGCTGTGCGGCTCTGCTCAGGGCAGGTGCCCACGGCAAGACGGCCCCCAGCACAGTCCCTGCAGGCTCCGGTGCCGAGGGAACTGATTCTGTTTTTTCAAGTGACCCGAAGTCTTTTTACCATTTTTGGCCTTTGAAACGCTAAATGCGTGATGGATGCAAGATGCGTGGCCCACCCGCTTGGGTCCCCTCATTGCAGGCCTGCCACACGCCGCAAGCCTGAGTATGCGCCCTCGGAGAGCACGGATGAGGCCCAGAAGAAGTTTGGCAACGCCAAGGCCATTTCCTCAGACATGTACTTCGGGCGGCACGTGCAAGCCGACGTAAGAGTCCAGCCTGGGGCCGAGGGAGGGCGCCCCTGGCTGGTCTCGGAGCAGAGCTGAAGGACACGGTGTCTGGGGAGGCAGAGGCTCCTGTCAGGGCTCCGAGCTCCCCTCTGAGTATTGACGAGCAGGGACACCAGGCAGACGCTGTGTCACATGGTCAATGCTCGGCTTCCTGGCCTGCCGGGGAGCTTTTCCTAAGGGCGCTTTAGAGAAAAGGTGTTTTGTAACAGCCCAGCAGCCCTGTGGCTCTTCCTCCAGCGCCTAGAAGCCGTTTGGTTTTAAGGCTGGCCCAGGGATGGTGTTGCGCGCGTGTCATCCTGCAGGGGCACGAGCAAGGCACCAGGGTTCAGTCCCCAGTGCCACAGTCACTCAGCCAGTCAGGGATTGGCACTAGGGCTGGGTCTGCAGCTCAGGACAGAGCGCCTGCCTAGCGTGTGTGGGGCCCCATGCACTCCAGTATGGGTCACAGCTGATGGCGTCAAGCTGCTTCCGGGCAGGGTGACAGGTGCTGGGAGCAGGGGTCTGGGAGCTTCGTCCTCCCTCGCTCTGACTGCCCCTCTGACTGAGGTAGCTGTGATCTGTCCACTGCTGGCCTCCCACCCAGAATGTAAGGTCCACAACGTCGCCAGGGCCCAGCCCAGCTGTGACCCCATGACCTGGCAGGACAGAGCCTACAAAGTCAGTGTCCCGCTGTGGAGATGGGAGCCTGACGTCCCTTCCTCCCTCTCCGCAGTATGAGACCAGGGCGCGCCTGGAGCGGCTCTCGGCCAGCTCGGCCATCAGCTCCGCGGACCTGTTTGAGGAGCAGCGGAAGCAGCCGGCAGGTGGGTACCTTCCTGCACTTGGGGGGCCTCGAGCTGCATCACACGTGTGGGTGTGTCACTCTGTTCCTGTGAGCCTCCCACGTCAAGGGCCACGTCACTGGCCACCAGCTGCCTTGGAGCCGTGGCCACCAGAGTACATTGCGTGCCTCCCACCGAAGCCACTGTTCTTGTCCTCTCGGAACCCTTTTCCCTTGATTCGCCTCATGTCCCAGACACTGGTGTCAGACCCCACGTTGGAAGCCCCTCTCCTGGGCGCCCCAGGCCCTGGCACGAGGGTCTCACTCACTGGGCCCACACCCATCCTGGTCCGCTCCGCACCCTGGCCCTTGCTAGGCCCCACTGCATGCAGCGCCTGCCACGTGACCAGCTGCCCACTGCACCCAGAGTGCTCTCCCGGCAGGAATGTGCCCCTTCCATGTGCTCTGGCACCCAAAAGAGCTTGGAGAGGAAGCCTCCAGCAAGTGTTTGTTGAATGAATGAAAGAATGAATAGGTGGGAGCGTGTGCACAGGTGCTGTTAAGCCCAGGAGCCTCCCCCAGCCTGTCAGGAGCTGCAGCCCTCTTCCAGCGCCTGTGGCACCCGGGGCTGGGCCAGGCGGCTGTGCGCAGTGCCCTCCGTGGTGTGGCCCTGCGGCTCCCCTGCCTGGCGGCATGGCATGTGGCTGCATGGCAGACAGAAGCCAAGCAGCTGTGATCTGTACACAGGCAACTACACTCTGTCCAGCGTGCTGCCCAGCGCCCCCGACATGGCGCAGTTCAAGCAGGGCGTGCGGTCGGTGGCCGGGAAGCTCTCGGTGTTCGCCAACGGGGTCGTGACCTCCATCCAGGTCAGTGCCCACCGCGCATGTGGGCCGGGGCGGGGCAGTGGGGTTGCGTGTGATTGGCTGATGCGTTGGCTGCGGTTTAGTAACCAGGACGCCAGGACCAGAGATTACAGCTCCTAACCTTCTGTAATTTATGAGCGGGAGGGTAATTACAGGAGCTGTCATGATAGTTATCTAATTCTCCCTATATTGGGACAGAGAATGAGTAAAAACAGACGACCTACAATCCCCTTCACCAGACTCCTGTTCATATTGGCATGTTGCCCTTTAGTTGTAGGTTGCTGTGCGTAACTGCTTAAAATTAAAAGGGGATCGTGTTGTCCACATGGGTTTGTACCTGATTGTCTGCATCATGTCCTATGCATTTCCTTCTTTCTTTGTACCAGGAATCAAGCTCATAGCCTCGCCCTTGCCAGGCAGGCGCTGTGCTGCATCCAGTGCATTTCTGTGTAATAAAAAATCCTCACACTGGGAAGTCTGAGCCAAGAGAATCATGTGTTCCAGGCCAGCCTGGATGACATAGCAAGAACCAAAAAAGAGGGGCCAGGGGTACAGCTCAGGGGCACAGCACCTGCTGGCAAGGGCAACATTTTAAGTTTGATTCCTGGTACCCCCCCAAAAAAAAAAGAAAGAAAAAAAGAAAACAAAACAAAGTAAGCAAAGCTCTATATGGTGGCACAAGCCTGTAGTCCAACACGTAGAGAGGCTGAGGCAGGAAGGTCTCAAGTTCAAGGCCAGCCTGAGCCATTCAGCTACAGCGAGATCCTAAATAAATAAAAAAATAGAAAACAGGGAGATGTGGCCCTGTGTGAAGGCCTTGGGTTTAGTCCCCAGTATCCCCCAAAAAAGAAAGATTGGTTCTCCAGAAAGCGTATTCTGCTGAGTGAGAATGCGTGCGCGCTGGCCCCCACACTGGGGTTGGGATCCTGCTTCAGTCCTCTGCGCGGCGAGGTCCGGCCGGAGCGCTGTATGTGGCACTACAGTCGCTGCCGGCTGTGGAGGGGCTCGCGTCCTGAAGCTTCTTGTGGCACCTGGCTATCTTGGAAGCGTCCCATTGACCTGAAACTCACCTCCGGGGCTGGCCTGGTCCACAGGCCTCTGGTGCCTCTGAGCAGGCTCCGGGTCCCCAGCAGGTGCTGCTGTGGCCGTGTGGGGGACAGTGACAGGTGATGGTAAACCTCCCTCAGCGGGAGAGGGTTGTTCTGGCTCTTGGCTTCCCAGGGCTCAGTCCACGGTCAGCTGCTCCCCTGTGGCCAGGAGCGTGCTGTGTGGGGAGGGGCTGGCAGCCAGGAATGGGGGATGCCGGGGATAAGGCACCCCCTGAGGTTATGCCCTAGTGACCCATTCCTGCACCTCACAGCCCATTCAGCTCTGAACTCCCCAGTGGCCTCATCCATTTGTGAAGTTAGCACCCCACGGTCTGGGCTCCTTCCAAAGCCCATCTCGGCACAGGAGCCTTGGGGACTTTGGGACCAAACCAGAGCAAAGGGGGCAAAGCATGTGGCTCTGCCCTTTCCACGAGCTTCCTCCCACTGCCCCGGCTGGCCTCACCCTGCCCTGGGGCCCTTCCACAGTGACCCTCCTCATGGCTGCTGTGGCAGGTGAGGTGGAGGCGCAGAGGCTGAGCTCAGCAGCCTTCAGGTCCCCCTCACATGTGACTCGGGCCCATCACACCTGCCCTGTGTCCCCACATGGCCCCACCCAGGCATGATGTGAACCCGGAGGGTATGTGGGGCCCAGGCGCTGGGCTCAGCATCAGGGAGCTGCTGACTCCTGCCCTAGGGACATGTGGGGCTTCGGGGACACTGGACATTAAAGGCACCAAGTTGGGGCTGACCCCAGCATCCCTGGTGAGCCCAGGTCTCGCTTCTCTCCTAGGATCGCTACGGTTCTTAATCCCTGTCCTGAGAAGCTCCTCTCCATGTGCCTGGTGACTGCACGCGTTTTGGGCGCCCCTCCACATGGTGTGTCCCCTGCGCGCTCGTGTCCTCGTGAGCTGTAGTGAAACCTTCGCTGTGCTTTCCAGCCCACGTCAGTTCCTGCACCCCACTCCTCTTGCTGCGCCCCACACCCCCTTGCTTTATTCCTGGAGTCCTCAGCTCCCTTAGCCACTGCTCCCCACTTGTGGACTGGCAGCTCATGTGGGGCACAGGGGCCTCCAGGTTGGTGACCGCATCAGAACTGCACACAGCCACATGCAGAGCGGGCGGGAGGGGAGCAGTGGGCGGAAGGGCTCCAGCAGATCCAAGGACACCTGACTCGGGAAGTAATGTCTAATGTCGTCTGTCTCTTTGTAAATTATTTTGTATGCTCTATAAAGGTAAAATATTTTCCAATGAGTGCTTTTCACAGACCTCGCCTCCATGCTGCCAGAGAGTTGCTGTGGAATCCGTGAGAAACGGGGCTGAGCGCCCCGAGGGTGCCCCCAGTCAGGGCCCTGAACCCAGGGAGCTGGGTCCCGGGGACCAGCTGTGGGAACGGGTCAGAGAACGGGAAGCATAACTGGGTGGTTTTATTATTTTTTTTACCTTAATCTTCATTTTCAAAAAGTTACAGAAATGTGTCAATCAATAAGGACAAGTAATTTGGCTGTGTTTTAGACAGCACTAGAATACACTGTTCAGCACAGTAAAATGCATTTGAAATTTGAAGAGCCGAAATGTGATTCAAATGACTATTTTGTGACTCTTTTCTTACAGCTCAGATTTGTAGACTTTTAAATGTAATAAACAGTTGCAGCACACTGTGTTCCTTGCGGGTTTTTTTTGTCCCCCTCCCAAAGAAAAACCTCTGAATAAGTCATCGCAAACCAGGACGCGTGGTGTGGCATCGACGCGCATTTGAATCAGGGCGCAGCTGCCCGTGTGTCCAGACCTGCGCACGAGGTCATTCACTGATGCGCCCTCCACAGCCCAGCCAGACACGGTGACCTTGTGGAAGGTGAGGGCGTGCGGCTCAGGGCCGGACAGCAGATGCCGCCGTCCTGGAGGCTGAAGCCAGGGTCTGGGCGGCCGGGCAGATTTCCGGCCAGGCCTCTCCACACTCCCCCACCCGTGGACACTCCCTGCCCTCCTGTGGGGCAGGGAAAGGTCCCCCTCCTCGTCCTCTCTTAACTGCGTTGTTTGGGGCCCAGATGGAAGCCCGGGGCTGCCCACGCGGAGCCCCATGGGATCCGTGTCCGCTGGGGACATCACTTACCCTTAAAACCCCAGTGCAGCCTATCTGCATCACAGCCGCCCTGGGTGGGGGCAGGGCAGGAGCACACTGGGCAGACCCTGTCCTCAGCCCGCTGTGCCAGTCCTCGGCCCGTCCACGCGCCTCGGGCTCCTTCCGTCCTGAGCACAGGCCTGGCCCGGACAAGCACACACGCTTTACCCCTTACTAAACGTAGGCCAAGGCCCGGGCTCTGAGAGCCAGCGCGGGCACCCCGCAGCTGCGGCACGGCGCCCCACCCGGGGACACAGCCCAGCAGGGCGGCGAGGCCCAGGCCCTCTCTGCGCCCCCAGCCCGGCTGCTCCAGGTCTCGCGAGAGGCCCCCCGCCGCCCTCCGGGAGCCTTCTGCGCATGTCCCGGGACCTGCCCCCGCGCGGGGCGCACCTGCTCCCAGCCGGCCTGCTGCGGCCTGGTCTCCCGCCTGCTCCCCCAGAGGCTCAGGTCCGAGCTCGGTGCCCGCTCCCTGCCCGCTCCCGGGCTGTGCGGGTGCGGGGCTCCGCCCCTGGGGTTGCGCTCCCAGCAGGGCTGAAGGAACAAACCCTGCCCGCAGCCAGCGAGGAAGGGGTCCGAGGAAGGGTCCGAGGCCTCGCGGGCTGCCTGGTTCTCGGGAGGGAGGAGGGAGCGTTCCGGTTGATTGGGGGACGCTCCCTGTGCCAAAGCGTGGCCAAGAGGGACGCTAGGTAATTACCGAGAGCCTGAGAGATGTAGCCTCAGGGACATTAGGAACATTATGAGTCTAATTAAAAACAGGAGCCTAAGGGCTGGGGATACAGCTCAGCGGCACAAGCGCCTGCTTGGCAAGTGCTTGGTTGTGAGTTGGATCCCTGGTACCAAAAAATACAATACAATACAATACACAGGAGCCTCGATACGGGTACCCGTGTAAGCCGTGGAGAATTAGGGTGACCAGTAGCTATGTACCTGCAGCAGAGTGGAACTGGAGTCTGAGGAGCCTCAGGTCTCCCAGAGTTCCCGGGGACGGCTTCATCCCAGACTGGTGAGAATCCTAGCGGGCATTTCCCACGTAGGCTCTAATAGCTTTCCACTGCCTCATGTAGGGAGGAGCTGGTTTGCATGGCTCCTGGGGAACAGGGACTAGGGCTGCCTTCTCACCCCTCTGTTGGCCTCTGGCTTTCCCAGGGGGACTTTAGCCACGAGTCTCTTTGGTGTCCCTCACAACAGATGCCAGCGACCTGCTTGGGAAGATGGACTCCCTCACGGAGCTGTGTAATTTCCTCCTTCTGGCTCACGGATGATCATGCTATCAGCAAGGCTGTTGCCCTCCCTCTTGCTGCGTGGGCTCGTAGCACCATAACGAGTCTGTGTAGCTGTGCAGCCTTTTCCTGGTATCGATGCCCAACTGTGAGCCAAGAGCTCCACTTGGCCAGCCGAGGTCCCTGGGGAAAAGGGGTTTGGCTTCGATCCTGTTTCTGTCCAGTGTGAACTAGCAGATGGCAAAAGATGGGTACAGAATGGCAGCCTGAATTACAGTAGTACTTCTCAGTCCCCCAAGACGCAACTGAGACCACTGAGGCAGGCAAAGACCTGGGGAGTCAGAGCGTGTTTTGTAGGAGAAGGTGGCATCATTGAGAGGGGTGCAAAATTCTGGGTCTCTGAGTAGGGGTCTAGGTGTAGGTGATAGGGTGGTGTTGGATACGGGGGTGCTGGCAGGCACAGCATGTCTCTGTGGTGTGAGGCAGAACCAGCCCTCTGCAGTTGAGCTGTGTGGGAAACGGGCTGGCTTTCTGTTGAACACTGCCCGCCCCGAGGTGTGAAGAACAGACTGCTGGGAGTTTTTTCTCCTAGCTGGGCAGAGGTCTGGTGCGGAGACCTGACAGCGCTTTTCTGCAAAGCACAAAATCCCTTGTGCTCAGACTTTTGTGGCTCTTTAGCTCTGGGAAGCCTGGTGATCCTGTCCTCACATGCCGCCTGCATCTGAGGTGGGGGGCAGGACTTTTCCCACCTCTTTCCTAACACCCCAGAGAGATCTAGTATTTTCAAAGGACCTTGTAGGTCTGCAGTTGGGACCTCCAGCCCCCACTGATCTTTGCTGCAGTCAACAACTGGGCTCTACGAGAGGATGGAAGAAGGACTGAGAAAAAAGATCAAAATGAGGGCTGTTTGCCAGGTGTGGTGGCTCATGCCTCTAACCCCAGCAACAGGGGGCTGAGGCAGGAGGATTTCCACCAGTTTGGGATCAACCTGGGCTACATAATGGGTTCAAGGCCAGCCTGGATTACATAGCAAGACCCTGGCTCAAAAAAAAAAAAAAAAAAAAAAAAAGTCCCACAGTATCTAGCACCCTCATTAGGAAGAAATTTACTAGCAGAACTGGGGCAATCCTCCAATTCTGGCAAAGGCCAAAGAGGATTTTACATGCTGGCACTATGCCGGGCTGCGCGGCTAGCCACCCCTGAGGTCAGGCAGGACACCGGCCCCGGCGTCTGCCCCTCCAAGGCCTGAGGAGGTGTGGGCCGCTGAGGGAGGCAGCTTGTGCAGGAAGGACATCCAGAGGCAGGTCATGCAGCTGTCAGCTCAAAGCAGGCCAAACCCCTTCCCCCAGGAACTTCTGCTCAGAGAGCGCAGCACAGCAGCATCGCTACCAGGGAAACTCAAGCAGCTAAATGTCTCTGCAGGCTGCAGGCCCTCCAGACCCTAACCTCATTCTTGTTTCCTAATGAAGCATTCTGGTCCTTCCTCAAGGGATGCAAGAACAAGCTATAAAAACCCTCTTGGGAGAAACAGTCACTTCAAATAAATTAAGTAAAATAAAATTTAAAAAAAAAAAGGAAATGGTCACTTGAATTTTTATGGACCTGGATTAGCGGCCACCACCGGCAGGTCTGCAAAGCTCGCCCAAACCGCCTCCTCTGTTAGAACCTTGGAGAGGACAGGGACCACCCTGGGGTGGACCGGCAGTAGACCACACTCCTGGCCACCATCCGGGGAATGCACATCACCACTGGCCTTAACTGACACCTTTATGGGCTGGATTGGAGGCCCTCCCTACTGGCTCAGGAGGGGATGCACAAGCAGTCATGGTGCTTCCTGAAGAGACTGTCCCCTGGTTGGGACTACCGCACCCCTTCAGAGAGGAACTGAGTCTTCTTTTACCTCTCAACTCGGGTGGCCACGACTTTAGGAACAAAATTCCATCTCTATTCCACATGGAGACGTCCATCTTCCGGAAAGGTCAGAAGAGCCGACCGGACCTCAACGTAAGCTCTGGCAAAGCTATGGCAAGAGACAGCCAAAGCTTTAACTCCAAGTATCGCCAGTGATACCCCAAACACGGGCTGTCAGTCCACTGGAGATGTTTCTGGGAGGCCTGTTCTGTCCTCTGATGGGGTACTGGACCCAGTGACCGTGAGACTCTTACAATAGCTTTTTAAGCTGGGTCAAGCAGAACCCGCTGCCCAAATGCACAGGAGCAGAGTCCCACCAGCTCTGGCCCAGGGGACCACCGGGCATCCACCCTGGAGACCAAGTCCTCATTAAAACTTGGCAAGGAGGGACTCCTGAGACCAATTAAAAGCAATACAGAATTCTGGGGCGCTTCCAGCGATAGGGATCCCAGCCATACCTACTGCAGTGGTGGTGCCGGTGACAGCTGGAGTCACCTTTCCAGGACAAAGCTAGCCCCACTGAACTGTCCGGAGACAAAGAAAAGAGCCGCCCCTCTGAGGTTCTGAGGCTCCTAGGACTCTAGCGCTGCCGCAGATCAGTAAACAGGCACTCGAGTTGGGTTCCTGTTTTTAATTAGACTCATAATGTTCCTAACGTCCCTGAGGCTACATCTCTCAGGCTCTCGGTAATTACCTAGCGTCCCTCTTGGCCACGCTTTGGCACAGGGAGCGTCCCCCAATCAACCGGAACGCTCCCTCCTCCCTCCCGAGAGCCAGGCACCCCTACGTGGGACCCCTTCCTCGGACCCCTTCCTCGGACCCCTTCCTCGCTGCCTGCGGGCAGGGTTTGTTCCTTCAGCCCTGCTGGGAGCGCAACCCCAGGGGCGGAGCCCCGCACCCGCACAGCCCGGGAGCGGGCAGGGAGCGGGCACCGAGCTCGGACCTGAGCCTCTGGGGGAGCAGGCGGGAGACCAGGCCGCAGCAGGCCGGCTGGGAGCAGGTGCGCCCCGCGCGGGGCCAGGTCGCGGGACATGCGCAGAAGGCTCCCGGAGGGCGGCGGGGGCCTCTCGCGAGACCTGGAGCAGCCGGGCTGGGGCGCAGAGAGGGCCTGGGCCTCGCCGCCCTGCTGGCTGTGTCCCCGGGTGGGGCGCCGTGCCGCAGCTGCGGGGTGCCCGCGCTGGCTCTCAGAGCCCGGGCCTTGGCCTACGTTTAGTAAGGGGTTATGTGCTTGTCCGGGCCAGGCCTGTGCTCAGGACGGAAGGAGCCCGAGGCGCGTGGACGGGCCGCAGCGCCCAGTGATGCCTCGGCTGCCGTCTGTGTCCCCGCTGAGAAGCAGCTGGGCCCGCACTGGGCAGGGGGAGGCCTCCGTGCGTGCCCGGGCCGCACCCCACTCCCGCACACTGTG